CTCCATCACCTGCGAAGCCGGTAACCGCGACCCCGCCGAACCTGGCGGCTGAAACGCTGGCTGGAAGGAGGGCTCGAACTCGTCCGAGTGAAGATGCGGCCAGTTGTGGGGCTTACAGTTTCGGGAAAGGGGGAGGGGGGAGGGGGGAGGGGGGAGCAGTTTCTGAGATGCTGTCGACGTGCATCGATGCAACAAGCAGTGCTTTGGTAGTCAGAAACAAAAAGCATCCCCGGAGAAGTCAGCAGGAGGATAGGCGCACTCGTCAACACGCCGCTTGTTCCCTCGAATACTACTCTTAACAACAATTTCGACAACCTTCCCACGTTATTTATCATGCCCGGGTCGAGTTGGATTTGCTTGGGCTTGTGAACGTCGACAAAACGTGTGTCCCTGTTCAGTTCATGTACACTCTATCTAGCCTTGCTTTCTACTCTACTTCCAACTAACTACTTCTTCAAGTAGTAGGAGTTATCTGACGTGCTCAGTTTGAACAATCCCGAAAGACTCTTGTGCTTTTCGTCGTCGCTCAAGATTCTTTGGACGCATAACGCATAGCTTCACCTTGCTCACATAGCAGTACACCACCAAAAGGGTTTATTTTCGAACTCGGATTGAGACAACGTGCGCCCACTGGGATATAAGCAAAGCCAGGCAAACAGACAGAGACGCTCACCGACTTGTGATAGGACCGCACGCCTACTTAACATCGAAACACCTCCGGAAACGGCAAGAGAGCAACAACAAAATCATCTACATACCTTCGAAAATAGATATAGACAACCCACATACCCATCTACTCATCACCAACACGCAAACATCCGAAAATAGAAACAGAACAACTCCCACACCACTCACACGTCACCCCCCACACCGATCTACACATCACCTACACATCCGAAACCAGAAACAGAGCAACCAAACCCCCACACCAATTCAAACATCAACAACATCACCTACGAACAGCGCAACTCCCGCACCAATCCTTACACCACCTACGTACACACCTTTGATACGGATTGCCTCCTCACCACCGCCGCCGAGCGCTTCGGCGACGCGGGCTTGGGGTTCGCCTCATCACCTACACCCGACAACGCCGAAGAACCCTTGCCCATCATGGCAGGGTTAGTGCTCCTCCTATTCCACCGCCCGCCGCCGCCGACGCCGCCGCCGACGCCGACTGCGCTGCACGTGCTGGCGGCAGTGGCTCCTGCCGCCCCATCCGGCCCTTGGTGCTGTCGGCCTTGCATGCCTTCGACATGGTCGTTGTCTTCTACCGACTCTTCTAACGTCGACATCTGTCCCCCGATTTTCGACGCGTTTGCGTAGAGGGTGGAGACGTGAGTGAGCGCACGGGATTATGCGTGGCCTTCTTCTTCGTTTTCAACGTAGACATCCACACACAACACGTTGCCAATCGCGGTGCAGAAATGTAAAACTCGCGCATTTACTCCAGTCATTTTGTTCTCAAGCAGAGTGAAAAACTCTCTCCGAACATGCTGCATCGACTCGCACGTGTGTCGCTTCTCGCACAGTAATGTTTGATATACTGGGTTTGGGGTGTGGTGTTGGGTATTTGATATTTTCAGGTTTGGGGACGCAATAATTAGGGAAAACTAGACGTACTTATGTGTGAGTGTTTTTATTGTTTTTTTGTTTTTGTTGTTCTTGGTTTAGGGCAGTACATAGTGTGTGTGCGTGTGCACAACTTTTCGCGTAGAAATCCGAGAGAAGCAAAGAGTGAAGACTCTTCGGGGATCTACAACAGATCTTTTTTGCGTTTGTACAAGCGTCATCTCTCGGGCACATTTTGCGCCAGGCAGCCATGCAGGCGACCTTCTCCAAAAGAAACTCCCTCCGAAGCGACACACGAAAAATCAACATTCTTTGCAGGGGTTCCAGGAACGTTCCTGCGGTGCAGCTACAAAGGCTCACTCACCTTGGTGTAGAAGAGCACGTAAGCCGAGGCCGCCTGCACCTCCTTGGCCTCTAGCCCCTCCACACGCTCGTCGTTGAACAGGTTCCAGTCTCCGCTTACCCGATTCTTAGCAGTGGCCCTAGGCACACGTGGACAACAACCACCGTACGGTAGTGTGGAGAGGGGGTGATGAAGGGCGGAAATTGGTCATCAACACCTGCCATACTTTCCGGGTGGTCTGCGGAACTTGAAGGCGTTCCGTACCACATATACCACTTGCGTATCACGTCCCGTCAAGACAAACGGCTGTTCATTGGTCAGACGACAAGCAAGAATGATCGATGCTTTATGAGAAACTAACACACGTAGCTATCCTCAGTACGCTCTGTTTTCCGTAAAAGCTACCAGAACAACGCACAGCAACCTTACTTGACATATTACATGCATACCCCCCTAGGTGATGTGAGAGCCTGGTCCGGTGAGAACCCGGCGTGCTCCGTCCCGGCTTTGTCCGGAGGCGAGGTCAATGGTCTAACGACTACGGCATTCACGACTATGAGTACACCCCCCCCCGCCCTTCGCATATTCTCACGTGTAGTGCCCCCCGTGGACGGAGCCGTGATGGTTTGCGGTCGCGATCAGGTCGTAGTCCGGTGATTCTTTCTGGCATGGCAGTTTCCACCCCATGTCCAGACGCGGAGCACATTGTCCAACCATGACGGGAACAAAGCAGGCAGAGGCAGAACGACATGCAATTCAAATCGAGGGGGGGGGGTAGGGGATGATCTTGGCCGGTGTTGGAATATGAATTCGTGTGCCTGGCTACCGAAAAAAAACGGCTGAAAAAACTGAACAGATGTCAAAGCATGTGCGTGCACGATAACATCAGATCGGATGAGCCACATCGTCACCGAAGCATGCACGGGATAGATCAGGTTGGATAACCTAAGATGCATTCACTGTGATCGAAGCGTGCAAGTGGGACGTTGTGTAGGGCAGGCAAGCTCGCAGCGTGCTCGTCTTAACAAAAGGATTAAGCTTGCAAATGAAATCCGCCTGCAAGTAAGAAAATAAAACGGGACGAGACAAAAATAGTGCATCGTTTGTTTTTGTTTGTTTTTCTCCCATCATTGGACTCTGTCGTCTGCCCCTCTGGCCCCTATCCTCCACTTCTACTGGCTAGACGACCCAACCGGGGTCACATAGGAGGGGGGGGTTGGACCCCCTCCTGCGGTTCCTGCGGCATTGATATCCCCCAGATCTCTCAATGCACCATTAAGGAGGGGAGACCTGCGAAAACAGGCTTCACGCGCCAAACAGAATGAAAATAATTCTGCTACAGGTCGCTCTACGGTAACCCCCGACTCGAAAGCAGCACCGATTGATGGTGGGAGAAACGACAACAAGCAAGCCATGCCTTCTTTTCTTGGAGAATTCCTTTTGGAAGGTTTCGCCAAACGGTATCCAAGCCAACCACAACCTTACTGGAAGCAATCACTGAAAATGAATGCGGAAACACATTACATACGTATTCGTGTATTGGCAGCGTACGTGAAACATCTGAAAGCTAAAGGGTGGGACGTTTGAAGATGCACTATATTGATTACGCTTTACTACAACACGTTTAGCACGGAGCGGAGATGTCTAGGTTCAAAGTATGCCAATACTAAGTCTTGCAGCATGTCAATAAAGGCGTGCAACCGTTAAACAATAAAGTCTATACGATTTACCCCGCTGTGTCACCTGTGGAGACTTGACAACCTCAGACAGGTCCAACCCTGCTAACGGGAACGTCACCAGCGATGATATCTTTGATGATCCCGCGAATCGCTTCAGGTGCACAATAAGCACGGGCGGCACCTGTGAACGTCCACCGATGGGGGGTATGTGCTCATGGCAATGCATGCCGCGGTTGGGAGCAAATGGGTACATTTGGTAAGGGAGGGTATAATAGAGTCTGCATACTTTTTAGTGTAGTGCACTGGAAACTATTGCGCCTCTCGCCCAAAGGCTGCTGCTCCCTACCGAAGGCTTAGTATAGTCTTGGGAGGCCACTCAACTCCGTACAACAACGCGACGAAGCCATGTCCGTCAGGTCTCCACTGGAGTAGGCTTGACAACGGGGGGGGTTCGCCGCAGTCCGATAGCCTGTTGACCAGACACGCCTTTCGAGACGGACCAACGGTTGAACATACGTGCTGACGCCCACGTTTCACATTTCGGCAGCAGCAGCAGCAGCAATTGAGAGCGGCCACATGTTGCGACAGCTGGGGAAATACTTGCCTTCCAACACGTCCCCTTCGATCGACTGTGGTATTTTCTTGGACGGATAGTCTTTCGATGATTGTTCGTCATGAAAAAAAAAGGGAGGTTTACATGAAACATTTTCAGAAAAGGCTACCTTCCACAGGTCGAGCTTCTTCGTTGCGCGCTGGTGCTTCTTGCAGTTCGAGCAGTACCACGCGTTGTCTGCAAAAGGAAAGCACATGGTTGGAGAATTACTTCGTTTAGTGGACAAGCCAATCTCGCGCGAGGCTCGGTGTTGGGTCAACACAATGGCTACGAGCAGTGCTTCAGTCGTTGATAGTACAATACGCGGTAGTGAAAAGAGGAATCATCACGACCACCAGCAAGCGCCTGCTGGGTGTACGAAGACCGCCCCCCTTGCCTCCTGGAAAATCAACAACGTATGTGCAATAAACGCATGGTGTGGTGTGCTACAACACAACAAAGTGCCACTGTTCGTCTTGCGGCGCTCACCGCCATTACGTGCCCACATCGGTCTGGGGTCCTCTTTGATCGGTACACAGATTACAAGTCGGTTGTTGCAGAAAATGTGCGTACACATCGGAAAAAAAGCAGGACATGTCCAAGAAGCTGATGAGGAAACAGCCACCAAAATGAACAAAAAATAACATCATACCTGTACGCACATGGCTACTGCTGTAAAACTCCAAGCATAGACTCCCAGGCCGAGTTTTCGATGTGGAAACAGCCACCAAGATGCACGCAAAAAAAAAAAATCCCGCCCACAGCAATACCACAACTCAATGCAACCACTTCCCCGCAACAGCAAGCAAGCCTGGTTCAGCAGCTGGCAAGGCGGCTCTGACTAATACCTCACCTCCGTCGAGAAGCTCCTCCTCGCAGAACATCCGAATGCACGCCTCCAGCGAAATCCCCGAACCCCCGCTCCCGACGCCGGGGCCCCGTCGCGGCCTTCTCTCCCCATCGCCGTCGCCGTTGTTCACGTCTTCGGGAAGGGGCACCGACAGGTACATGAAGGGGTCGAAGGTGACAGACCGTCGGCCGCAGACGCCGCACTGCAGCGCCGACCTTAGCTGCCCTTGGAACAGGTCCACGATTATCGACCTGTTCCGCTGGCACACGCGAAAAACAAGGAGAAACAAAAAAAAAGTGATACTTTTTTTCGGTGTACACCTTTCGGTGCGACGAATAAGGGTGCTGCTACTGCTGCTGTAGCTATTGTTGGCCGTGCCGTTGTTGTTGTTGTTGTTGTTGTTGTTGTTGCTGTTACTACCATCGGATGTTGATGCTGCAGGTGCTGCCGGTGCTGCAGGTGCTGCAGGTGCTGGTGTTGCTGGTGTTGGTTTCGGCGAAGAAAGGGCCTTCGTTACAGGTGTTCTTCCTTCTTGTCAAGTCCGCCATACGAGCATGGGCATCATCACCACCGAAGGAACCAACCCAAGCAGACGACACCATAGAGGCAACCAATCGCAAGTACCCGTTCTGAGCCCGAAGTCAACCTCCTCCTCCGGCTACAGCAACGGTGGCTTGGCTCCAACCATCCCTTTTATAAGCCCGCGTAGCAGTGACCTCCTGTTCCTACACGTATGCCTATGTCAGGCGGCACTGCTGTAGTGGAGTATCCGACTAAAGTCGCTATCAATGCCTCCTCGCTGAGAACCTCTCCCTCTCCAACTATAAATGACGCAAATCACTGCAACAGCAATGCCCACCAACACCAACGTCTACAGCAGAAAGTTTACAGCAGCAACTATACGCACGACCCATCACACCCACGACACCAACGTTCACAACAAGGAGCACAAGACAGCAACAGATGCTGCCAAGCAAAACGGACAGTCACCTCCAACAAGACCAACCTCCAAGTAGCCTTTCCAAGCCTTCATGGCCACCATCTCCTCCGCCTCCCCCTCCTTAGCCTCCTTCGCCTCCACGTACTTGCGTTCGGCGTTGGGGACACGGTTAAGGTCCTCGTGCACGGCATCCAGCAGAAAGGCGAGGAACTCCTGCACGTCCTGCTGCTCGTACCCCGCAAACAGCGGCATGGATTCTCCAACCTATTGAAGGTAGTGGGGGGTGGGGGTGACCATTAATCTGAGAGGAGGAGGAGACAGAAACTTGTGCGGCTGCTCGTGGAACGATTTTTTCGTTTGGCGAACCGAGAGCAGAGGCACGAGTGCAGGGGAACGTGGGTACGAGGGGGTGTTTGGGTCCGACACGGGCGGGCGAGAGAGACCGGTCACCATGGCCGAATGTGACCCCAGTGTGCAAGATAGCGCCAACAAGCTATTTTAGTGGTCATAGCAACAGCGTCATTGTCGTGCCACGGTTGCGAATGTTGGCATAGGAGATCGATAGAATAGCATGTAGCGGTGACCCATTAAGTAATGGTAGCTCGTTGGCGCTGTCTAGCCCACCGGGGTCACATTCGGTCCCGGGGACCAGTTTCTCTTGCAAACACCCCCTCGCCTTCATCGCTACTCATGTTCCTCTTCTGCCGTGCCACTGTTCTCGGTTCGCTAAAAGAAATATCTCCGAATCCGCGGGGACCCGCCCGTCTATTGGGCGTGGGCGAAGGAGGGCGAACATTCATATTCAGTACGGGGGGGGGGGAGACAGCAATTTGGAATGTCTTGCCATTATAGATACGGGGGCCTCCAAAGCAGAGGCATGGAACGTGCGACCCACTCGTCGCGGGGTGAGACCTGGATTGCACACGATGAGTAGGTGATCCAACTACAACTGTACAGTCGTGCATGCACAGGGCCACCAAGGAGTGTTGTTCTACGTTTAAGGAAGTACGCGGCCGCTAAGCGTGTAGGCTGATTGCTCTTGGTGCACCTGACGCCACACCGGGAAATCGGCCAGGGAAACAGTTGGGAAAATACGAAGAGAATTCTTCTTAACGAGACGAGATGCCGCTGCAGCTGCAGCTGCAGCTGCTGCTGCTGCTGCTGCTGTCGTCGTCCTCACTCTAGTCTTCATAATAAGTCATAAGCTTGACGCAACAAATATCGGTTTTCGTTTCGATGTGCCTTGCCTGCTTCTTGAAGTGGTCGGGTCGCAACGAGGCTTTGTCGCTGCACCATATTTCATTGGCCAGAGATCCAAATGCCGAAGCCATCAGCCCCTTGTGCCCCAGAAAGTTGCCTCTGAAAAAAAAAAAAGCAAGTGCAGTAATTCCCACACATGAGTATCTACCACATCGAGAATAATCGAGTGCACTCACCAAAACATTCACATTTGCAGCAAAAAAGGTGGCCTCCGGGGACGTAAAAGTAAACTAACACACGGCTAAACTCGACTCAGTTCACGCGGTTTCGAACCCTGTCCTGAACCCACAAGCCGCGCGACTTGCCGCGCACCCTCTCCCAGACCGGTCTCTACTAATGACCAGACCAGTACAACGTGTTTTGTGTTTCGGTGCATACATGTGAAGCAAACACAAGATTCACGCGGACAAAATGCCGGGGGAGCCCGACAACTATATAAAAAAAAAAAAACACAAGGCGTGTGCACGTTTTCTTGTGCCCCGCTAGAAAGCTGCATCATTTTCATTGGTCAGCTGGGTTCAGTAGCGCGGTCGATGTCAGTAAGTACTCAGATCATGCCTGTGGAACAGATGAATTCGTTGCGTCATAAGCAAGAAACACACACGCAGCAGTATACAGCAGGAGAGACTCGCCTATTTATCTCCCTCTTCCAGTCAAAGCCTAAGAAGTAGTCCGCCAGGGCTTCGCAGTTGAACAGGCACTGGAGCGCGCTGTTCATGAAGCAGGTGTTCCCAAGGTTTTGAAGGCCTGCGGCGAAACAGGCGACGCAAATAGAGCGGGGAGAACCCAAGGGGTCGTCGGAGAAGAATGCTTTTCTTGATTTTTTCATACGAAAACGAAACCAATGCTGTGTCTGGAAATCCATCTCAATCCACGTGTAAGAAACTTCCAGGAAATTTACGTGGCGATGGTTGTCCCGCGAAGACGGGCGCCATGACGTCATGATGGTGGTCATTTCACCGGAAAGGCGAGCCCCAGCTGGTTGTGTATCAATATTAGTCTACAATACTCCCGTTGCATGATGTGTCCACCACCGAAACATTGTGTGAGACAGAGAGTCGTCCGGGAGACAGCGGGAGAGACATTGATGCCGGCGACCCGAGGAAAAACATGCAAACCGGGATGATGCGGTCGGAAAAGCCGATTACGACGAGCTCCAGTAAAAACGGGGGCGGACAAGTCGTTGATCACGATACATTTACAATGTGTGCTCAAGGGATCCATCCCTCCGGCAGTGTCGTAAAGGGGTGACGATGCACGATGAAAGCAAAACCAGGCGGCAGCAGGACCAACCCACACTTGACGAGTGTTGACTTCAAGAGCCCAGAGAACCGAAGTCAAGTGTGTTCCTAACACGCGTGGTGTGCGCAAGTGCGGAAGGATATCACCTCTCGGGCGCACCCGCCCCTCGTCTCTTCTTTCTCACGAAGGGACGCAATCGATCTCAAAGGACGGTTGATCTACCAATTTACATTCATGCGAGCACTCGGGAACAATGTAAACGCCAGCGGCTCGGATGACCAGACGCAGCACAAGAGAGGCAATCCCCGAAGCCAACCTCTCGTTTGGATGGTGCTACATGATGCGCTGCAAGTATTGAAGATCTCATCATCTTCTCGAAGTTCTTTGAGAACACACATACAGCAGTCGAACACCAACATCAGGCAACAAACAATATTGTTCAATACCATCGCTCCTCATCTCACCGACAAGGCCTCTGATCACGCCACCGCCCAACTTTTTCTTCTCCACCATCTCATGCAGCTCCCCGTAGGTCGACGGCTGCCGGATGATCCTGATCGAGACGCGGCCGCCCTTGGTAAAGCTGGCCCTGCTGCTGCTGCTGCCGCCGCTCTCTCCGGTGCCTGGCCTCTCCCGAGAGGACGGCCGCTGTGCTGGAAGCGGCATGATGCAGGAGTTCGCAGTAGCGTCGATGCTATCTCCGGCACTGGGAATGGCGCAGGGGCTTGATGTCCTCCTGGGGCTGACGCGGGAACCCTCGCTAGTTGGCGCCTGCTGCGGAGCTCCGCCAGGCAGGGATGATGCTCCGCCCCCCTTAGCGGCGTCGTCGTTCCAGCCCCGACGCCTTGGGGATCCCTTTCTGAAGAGAGAAAGCTTTATTCTGCCGGGGCCGCCGCGGCTGCTGTGCTTCAGGGGTTCTCTGCTGCTGCTGCTACTGCTGCCGTTAGCTTCCGGTTTCACGCTGGTGATGTGCACCTTGCTGCTGGAAGTGCTGCTGGCGCTGCTGGCGGTCTTCCGCCCACTCTCCGGTCTTCCTGTAGTGCCGTTTAGGGAAGACTTCGTCGTGCCCATAACAGCGCCGCGGCGATTGGTCCGCGGCACTGACTGTTCGACTCCTCCCTATGCGCTTGAGTCAGACCGCAACATCACTCGTCACTCACAGAGACGGGAAGCACTGAGTACGTAACAGAGTCAATAGCAGTTGGCAAGCACTCTTTGTTTCAGCTACTACAATTGTAGTGCCTTTATTTCGGCCGGGTTTCGAAATCTTCCGGGGGCGTTCGCTGGAACGTTTCATGTAAGAACACAAGGGCGACGACGATTAGGACGACCCGAGCGCCACCATGTGTCCCTCTTCTGCCCCCCCCTCCCCCCCC